TTTGTGCACCAAAGAACACTATCAAGAAAGTGAAAAGACAACCCGCTGAATGGGATGAAATATGAGCAAATCATACATCTAACAAGGATCTACTATCCTAAACATAAAGAACTATTACAACTCAATAAAAGACAAACATCTCAATTAAAAAATGGACAAAACAAACATTTCTACAAACAAGATACACACAACAGTGGCCAATAAGCACACAAAAAGAGCTCAGTGTCATTAATCATTTGGGAAGGGCAAATCAAAACCATGATATTGGCCCTGGCTGGGTGGCTCAGTTGGTTGGAGCACTGTCCCGTACATCACAAAGGTTTTGGGTTTGATTCCAAGTCAGGGTGCATATGAGAGGCAACCATTGATGTTTTTTTCTCTTTAAAAATCAATAAAACATATCCTTGGGTGAAGATAAAAAAACAAACAAAAACCCACAATATAATGGGAAAAAAATGTTGGTGAGGGTGTGGAGAAATTGAACATTGCTGGTGAGAATGTAAAATGTTTCAGCCAATGTGAAAAATAGTTTGGCAGTTTCTCAAAAAGTTAAATACAGAGTTAACTTATGACCCACCAATTCCAGTCCAAAGGAATTTATTGCAAAGAACCAAAAACAGGTATTCAAATAAAAGCGTGTACATGAACGTTTATAGCAGTTCTAATTCACAATAGCCAAAGGTGGAACCAATTCAAATGTCCATCAACCAGTGATTGAATAACAAAATGTGATCTATCTATACAATAGAATATTATTCAGTCATAGAAAGGAACAAAGTACTAATACATGCTACAACATGGATGATTTCAAGAACATTGTGCTAAGTAAATGAAGCCTGACACAAAAGGCCTCATATTATGATTCTTTTTTATATAAAATATCCAGATAAGCAAATACTTGGGGACAGAAAGCAAATTAGCAGTGCCAGTGGCTGGGAGAAGTAGAGAATAGTAAGTGACTGCTTAATGGCAGTGGGGTTTCCTTTTGGTGATAAAAAAAAATCTGGAACTAGGGACTACATCAAAATAAAAAACTTCTGCACAGCAAAAGAAACCATCAACAAAACAACAAGAAAGCCCACTGAATGGGAGAACATATTTGCCAATGTTTTCACCAATAAGGGTTTAATCTCCATCATTTATAGGGAACTCATACAACTTAACAAAAGGAAGATAAACAATCCAATCAAAAAATGGGCAAAGGACCTAAATAGACACTTTTCAAAAGTGGACATACAGAAGGCCAAGAGACATATGAAAACATGCTCCAAGTCACTAATCATCCGAGAGATGCAAATCAAAACAACAATGAGGTATCATTTCACACCTGTCAGAATGGCTATCATCAACAAATCAACAAACGACAAGTGCTGGAGAGGATGTGGAGAAAAAGGAACACTCGTGCACTGCTGGTGGGAATGCAGACTGGTGCAGCCACTATGGAAGACAGTATGGAGTTTCCTCAAAAAACAAAACATGGAACTCCCATTTGACCCTGTGATCCCACTTCTAGGAATATATCCCAAGAAACCAGAAACACCAATCAGAAAGGATATATGCACCCATATGTTCATAGCAGCACAATTCACCATAGCTAAGATCTGGAAACAGCCTAAGTGCCCATCAGTAGATGAATGGATTAGAAAACTGTGGTACATCTACACAATGGAATACTATGCTGCTGTAAAAAAGAAGGAACTCTTACCATTTGCAACAGCATGGATGGAACTGGAGAGCATTATGCTAAGTGAAATAAGCCAGTCAATGAAGGAAAGATACCACATGATCTCACTCATTTATGGATAATAAAGACCATTATAAACTGATGAGCAAAAATAGATATACAGGCAGTTTGACAGCATCGAACAGACTGTCAAACTACAGTGGGAAGGCTGGGGAGGGTTGGGGGTAAGAGATCAACCGAAGGACTTGTATGCATGCACAAGACATTGGGGGGTAGGGGAGGCCGGGGGAATGTCAAGGGAGAAAAAAAAGGAGACATATGTAATACTCTTTGTAATACTTTAAGCAATAAAACAAAATTTAAAAAAAATCTGGAACTAGATAGAGGTGATGGTTGCACAATATTGTGAATAAACTAAATGCTACTGAATTGTATACTTCAAAGTAGTTAAATGGTAAATGTTGTATGTACTTTAACACTTGTGCATAAAATACATGGCAGTCTAATACACTCATGATCTTCCTTCAACTATCTCTCTTGCTTAACTCACTGGTCCCTCCTCCAATTCCTAACTCCTCAGTTTTTGAATACGCTAAGCTGTTTCAAGCAATTGGTTGTTCTTTATACATACTGTTTCCACTGCCTGGTAATCTTTCAAGCCTCAGCTCAAACATTTATCCAACAAACATTTACTGAAACGCTCCTGTATTCAAGGCACCGTATTAGATTCTAGGAATACAGCAATGAACAAAATAGAGATAGTCCCTTTCCTATGGAGCTTAGAGTCCAAGGAGCGGAGGTGAGGACATCAAGTAAATACTTGCACACTGCATTATTTAACTGTAATGGCAGGTGCCTTCCAAATAGAGAGGGCACCATGACAGCATATCACAAAGTGTCCCTCACCTAGTTGCAGGGTGAGGAACTCGAGGAAAAGGTTCTTGAAGAAGAGACATTTAAACAGAGCCCTGAAGAATATAGAAGTAAGTTAGTTAGGTGTAGATGGGCCATTTTCAAGAGGCCCAGACCCTCATAAGTTGACAAATACTGGGGCCGGTCACCAGGACTCTTGGCACTGAAAAGATGAAGCTCTCAGCTAGCACCCATACAACCTTGGCTCCGACTCTCACTAGCCACACACTAGAAAACAGAGGTCTAAGGATCCTGGGACTTGAAAGAAAAAAGAGCAGGGAACTTCTATCCCATGCTCTCAGAATGTTCTCCAGAATACATTTAGGATCCACTTTTGTTATTTGAGAGATTTTCCTGAATAGTTCTTAAGACCTTCCTGTCAACTCCCTTTGAAAACCCTTTCTCACTTTCCCCTTCCTTTGTGCCCCCAGTGTTTTCAGAAACATCTTATCCCTTACTTGCCTCTCTCGGAATCAGTTTGTATGACAGTGTGAACCCTGAGAAAGAAGATACCTACTAAGAAGGACTCCTGGTGGCTAACTGGGCTCAAATTTAAAAAACAAACAGCCCTGGCCAGTGTGGCTCAGTTGGTTGAGCATGGTCCCATGCACCAAAAGGTCATTGGTTCCATTCCGGACAGGGCACATGCAGGCTCCATCCCCAGTAGGGGGCGTGTATGAGGCAGCCAATGGATGTTTCTCTCTCTCTAATCTAATTAAACAAACAAACAAACAAACAAACAAAGCTCAGCATCCATTTCTACACAGGGGCCTCTCACGCAATTTGCACTTCACAGAGAAGCCTGCACTGAACTGTCGGCCTACACTGCTACGTCACCTGAGACAGTCCTACTAAGGAGTTCCTGGAACAGTATTTCAACCAATGGTAATGAGGCTTTCCCCATCCAATCGGAGCAGTGCTGTCATATCCTCATCAGCTTCTTCACGAACCAATCAGAGAAGCTCCATTCTGACCAATCACAGTGTCTTTTGGACCAATCAAACTGAGAGTTGGCGCGACATTTGCATGAGGAAGGACTAGACGGGACCAGCGGTGGGACTTCTGGCAACATAAACCAGCGGCCTCTGCTGAGAGCACACTTTCCCTTCCCACCTAAGGCAGTTCTCCCAGCTGGAGCTGAAACTGCAACACGGATGTGACCTCTCTGATGTTTTGCCCTGAATAGTTTCCTTCTTCACTGTGACCCCAAGTTGGGGATTCCCGTGCTGAATTGGCACTAAGGACCATGGGTAGAGGGCTGCCATCTGCCTCTAATCCCCAAACCTTACACAATGTTGCCCTGTCAGTATACACTCAGGGGCTGTACAGTCAGCGGGGCTGCAGAAGGCAGAGGGAACGGCAGAAAACAGGAGGGCTAGGCCACCAGGGACGATCGGGCAGGGCGTGACTGCCAAGCTAAAGGAGTTTGGTCAGTGCTTCCCAACTTAACCGAGTTTTAGAATCCGGAGGAAAAGACGTTGAAATACAGGTTACCCCAGCCTCACTCCAGGTCCGCCGAACAGCCACTGCCCCAGGTGGTTCTGAGGATCAGACAAGTTTGGCAACCACTGCTGCTGGCAAGGAAGATGCAAGGTTTCAAAGCAGATGAGTGAAACCTCTGAACTACATTTTAAATGCCCATCAGTCCTAAGAGAAGACAGGAGGCCACGGCAATGGTCTGGGGGAGACAGTGAAGACCCACAGATGGGAGGGAAGTCGCCTTCATCTCTATCCCCCGTGCCCACCAGGCTGTCCCGCTTCGCGGGCCTCACCAAGTACGGCTGATGGGAAATGCGCCCCCTTACCCGCCTCATGCGACCCTTGGACAGCAGGTCGGCGATCCCCTTGGCCGCGTCGTTCTTCTCGGCCACGCAGAGGACTTTCCGCACGCCTCGGAAGGCCACCTCCATGGCGGAGGTGGGAAAGGTCCGGCCTCCGGGCCGATGCACACACCGGAGCGCGCAGCGGGAGACGGGGAAGATCATCCCGGGCGCCCGCGCATGCTGTGGAACACAGAGGTGAGGGTCACCTCACCCCGCGCCCACCCTAAGGGAACCAGAGCCTACGAGAGCCGCCAGCGTGCGGCCGCAGCCCGGTCTCCTCCCACAAGCCCACCCGGCTTGGGGACTGCGGCCACTTAGCCTTCTCCTCTCCGCCCGCCGCGTCCGCTTCCGCCCGCCTTCTCCAGCCACTTCCGCCAGGCGCGAGTTCCTAGCACCGCGAACTACAACTCCCACACTGCCCCGCGCTCCCGGATCCCCGGTCCCAACACGTTTCCGCTCCCCCGCATCATTTCCTGTCTTTCCTGACAGTGTTAGTTAATCGATTGGTCCTTGCTCCACAGTCCCCCCGCCTCCCCCAAGCCTCTCGGTCACAATCTTTTTCGCTCTTGCTCGGAAGTCTACGCGAACGTTTCCGGGTCACGCGGCGCCAATACCGCGAGTCATGTGATACCAAGATGGCGGCGCCGCTGTAGCTGTCTTTGGGTTGTGGCGTCCAAGGAGCGGGGACCGTTTCTGCCCTCGGGTCGTGGGGGCGGCAACGCTTGGCTGGTCCCTGCGGCGGCCTGTAGCCCCACGTTAGGTACCAGGTCAGGTCCGGGGCTGTTGCTACCACCGGTGGGTTCGGGGAAGTCCCGGTGACCTCGCTGCAGGTGCTCTGCGCCGGCCGTGCTTGGCAGAGGAGGGGGCAGCCGGCCTCCCTGTCTTCTGGACCTGCGGAGTTCATGAGGCCTGGAGGGCCCTGGAGGGGATACACCTCTGAGGGGCTGCGGGAGTTTGCGTTCTCGGGTGTGTGAGAGGCAGGCAAGTACCCCTAAGGGCGCAACGAAGTCGACAAAGACTGCTTCCTCTTGCGGAGGCCTGGCTTCCCGGCGTTGATTGCCCCAGCGTTCTTTCTCACTTCCTCTCAATGTTCTCTCTGCACATCTGGAAATATGATCAGCGCCCCTGACGTGGTGGCCTTCACCAAAGAGGACGAGTATGAGGAGGAGCCTTACAATGAGCCGGCTCTGCCAGAAGAGTACTCAGTGCCGCTCTTCCCCTTCACAAGCCAGGGAGCTAACCCATGGTCCAAACTGTCCGGAGCCAAGTTCTCTCGGGACTTCATCCTTATTTCCGAGTTCTCGGAGCAGGTGGGACCCCAGCCCTTGCTGACCATCCCCAATGATACCAAAGTTTTCGGTACTTTTGACCTCAATTACTTCTCCTTACGGATCATGTCTGTGGATTACCAGGCTTCCTTCGTGGGCCATCCTCCTGGTTCTGCCTATCCCAAGCTGAACTTCGTGGAGGACTCCAAGGTGGTGCTGGGAGACTCCAAAGAGGGAGCCTTTGCTTATGTGCACCACCTCACCCTGTATGACCTGGAGGCCCGTGGCTTCGTGAGGCCCTTTTGCATGGCTTATATCTCAGCAGACCAGCACAAAATCATGCAGCAGTTCCAGGAGCTTTCAGCTGAATTTTCCAAAGCTTCAGAATACTTGAAGACAGGCAACAGGAAGGCCTTTGCTGTGGAACTTGAAAAAAAACTGAAAGACTTGGATTACACCAGGACAGTGCTGCACACTGAAACGGAGATCCAGAAGAAAGCCAATGACAAGGGCTTTTACTCATCTCAGGCAATTGAGAAAGCCAATGAACTGGCTAGTGTAGAGAAGTCCATCATTGAACATCAAGACCTTCTGAAGCAGATCCGCTCATACCCTCATCGGAAGTTGAAGGGGTCTGATTTGTGTTCTGGGGAGATGGAGCATGCTCAGGATCAGCCTGACCAAGCACCCACTACTTCTAACCCTGATGAGTGTGCTGACACAGACCTTTACACCTGCAGACCTGCCTACACCCCAAAACTCATCAAAGCAAAGTCCGCCAAGTGTTTTGACAAGAAGTTGAAGACCTTGGAAGAGCTCTGTGACACTGAGTATTTCACCAAGACCCTGGCTCAGCTCAGCCACATTGAGCACATGTTCAGAGGAGACCTGTGCTATCTCCTGACTAGCCAGATTGACAGAGCACTACTAAAGCAACAGCACATAACAAACTTTCTCTTTGAAGACTTTGCAGATGATGATAGGATGGTAGAGAAACAAGAAAGCATACCCTCTAAGCCCAGTCAAGACAGGCCACCTTCCAGATCTCTAGAAGAATGCCCAATTCCTCAAGTATTAATTAGTGTTGGCTCTTACAAGTCCAGTGTGGAGTCTGTGCTGATCAAGATGGAGCAGGAGTTTGGAGGTGAGGACTGTAAGGAAGTGGAGGTGGCAGAAATGAGCAGTTTTGATCTCCATGGAAACTTAGACTACCTGGATATGGATATGAAAGGGAGTGTCAGCAGTGGTGAAAGCATTGAGGTTCTAGGCACGGAGAAGTCCACCTCTGCGCTGTCAAAGTCTGACAGTCAGGTCAGCCTCGTGGTGCCACTGAGCCCCCAGGTGATCCGGAGCAAGGCAGTCAGCCACAGGACCATCAGTGAGGACAGTATTGAAGTCCTCAGCACCTGCCCCTCTGAGGCCCTCATACCTGATGACTTTAAGGCCAGCTACCCAAGTGCTATTAATGAAGAAGAATCATATGCAGATGATAATGAGGGAGCCATCCATTTCCAGGCAAGCATCAGCCTAAGCAAGCTGGATGAGCCAGAGGAGGGCAGTTTAGAAAACACTTTGTCACAAGCAGACTCTTGCTGCATTGGGAAGGAGAGTGACAGTCTGCTGGTGCCACTCACCACTCCAATCCACACACTCTCTGACGAGGATGGAGTAGTGAGCATCCCCCCACAGCGCTACAGGCAGAAGGACCAGGGGTTCTGTGTGGACTTTGCAGTGGAAAATGCCAACCCTTCTTCCCGAGACAACAGTTCTGAAGGCTTCCCTGCTTATGAGCTGGACCCAGGCCAACTACTGGCTAGCAGGGATATCAGTAAGATCAGCCTGGACAACTACTCGGACACCACCAGCTATGTGAGCAGTGTCGCCTCCACCAGCTTGGACAGGACTCCCTCCTCTGCTCATCCCACTGGCCCCTCTTTTGAGAGGCATAAAAAGAGGGCTGGCCAGAATGCCTTAAAATTCATCCGCCAGTACCCCTTTGCCCACCCAGCCATCTACTCCCTGCTCAGTGGGAGGACACTTGTGGTCCTGGGGGAGGACGAGGCCATAGTCAGGAAGCTTGTGACAGCATTGTCCATCTTCGTCCCCAACTACAGCTGCTATGCCAAACCCGTGAAGCACTGGGTCTCCTCCCCTTTGCACATTACGGATTTTCAGAAGTGGAAGCTTATTGGCCTGCAGAGGTAATTGGTTACAGGTAGTGGGGAAGGGCCTGTTAAATGTACATGCCTCTGGGTGAGGCCAAAAGTTGGTGTGGTGGACCCAGAATCAGGAGGCCTGGCTTCCAGTCTGGGCCCAGCACCAACTCACCATTACTTTTGGCAACTCATTCCCCTTCTGGTCTTCTGTTTCCTTTTCTATTAGTCACATGAGGGGATTGTAGTTCCTAAGTGGTTGCCAGTCCTGGATTGCATCCAGTTGTGCCAGAATTATGGGAGAATTTCATTTTATTTATTTTAAAACATGTTTTTATTGATTTTAGAGAGGAAGGGAGAGGGGGAGAGAGAGAGAAACATCAGTGATGAGAGAGAATCCCCCTGGGGATTATGCCTGCAAGCTGGGCATGTGGGCAGACTGGGAATCAACCACTGAGCCACGCTGGCCAGGCTTATGGGAGGATTTTAAAAATCACAATTCCTGGGCTCCATTTCCAGAGATTCTGATTCAGTTGGCCTGAGAAAGACTGGACTTCTAGATCTTGGGTCCTTGTTTATCCTCAAATTCACACTATGGTGTAAATGACTAACAAGTGATCTTCGTCTGAGAAAGGGCTGTGGTAATAATAGGAGGGCAGCCATCACTGACTGGTGAGAGGGACATCAGAGGGCTCCAGTGGCTTTTACTCCACTGTCCTGTTTGCCTTTGAAGGCTGTCTTAATAAGGAAATGCAAAAGCCAATTCATTCTCCCTCTCTGAATGCTTTCTATTTCATTTCCTTATGCTTTAATAGATTCTTTTTGTTTTTCCAAATACTGCTTGACAAGTGTCTGACTCAGGGGACTCTCTTTCAGTGTATGCACTTTGTTCAGTTTCCTCCGCCCCTTCTCTTCACCCCACTTTGCTCATCTGTAAAACAAAGGTTTTGAGCTAGGTTATCATCAGAGCCCCTGCTGACACATAGGAAGGGCAAAAATTTCCACACTGCAGTCAGCCACCGTTTGTTCTAATTTTCTGACTTCCCCTTTACATGGGTTCCTAATACCAGTGAGGTCACCATCCCGAGTCTTCTTGTGTCCACCCTTCTTAATGAAGTCACCTGGACTTAACTAACCCCTTGCTGCATTAGGCTTTCCTCAGAGTCATCATGGTGGGATTCAAGCAAATACCACTTCTATGTCATGACTTGACTCACTTGTTGAGAACCTACAAGCCATTCTGGCTGGTGCTGCGATATCAGCTGGAGGTACCTGAGCAAGGCCATTGCTCTGGAAAATTTGTAGTTTAGGAGAGAGGGCAGACAGTGATCAGGGCCTTGCCATACAGAGAGATAAGAGTTCTAACAGTGGGTGTTTTGTGTGTTCTAAGAAAACAGCATAATTTAGTGACAGCTGGGAAGCAGGAAGGGAGACTGGAGAAGGTCTGGGGTCTTTGAATGACCTGGAGGGTGGACTTGCCCTTGTTGGGTAAGAGTGACATCATGGGACGTGGTGTGATGTGCCTATGACACCTGGACAAGCTCATTCCTTGGGCATCATAGGAAACCATTAAAGTCTTTGCTTACAGATGTAGAATCTGAGGGTGAGTAGGTTGGATGATGGCACTGATGGCTTTGTCTTGCCTCCCAGCATCCTCACCCTCTGCTGGTGGCACCTCTGTGCTCTTGGGATTAACCCTTCTGTCCCAGGAAGGGAAGGGCTTTTCAGGGATTGTGTTTTGCTACTGTTCTTGGTGGAATGATGAGTTGGTATTCCTCATATGCACCCACATACACACTCACACACCTTCTGTTCTCCAACTCAAGCCCTCACCCTAACCCTTCAACTTTGACATTTTTACTTAAAAAGATGGAGCATCTAAAACATGTCAATCTATCAACATCATCTGGCTTATTGAGGACCAGGCTCAAGATGGTCTTGCCCTTTCTGGAGGCTTTCCCTTAAATTCCTCCTTAGAATGTGCCAGAATGGCAAAAGAGGTTCATTTCTTACATCAGCTCCATTCTACTGCGTACCTAATTGATGTGCTCTGTTGGGAAGGACTCAGGCCTAGGTTGGGCTGCATTGGAAATCCTGCTGTTATCAATTAATGATGTTTCTGTGGTGCAGGAGAGGGTAGCTGGCAGGTGGGCAGTATATTTGGCATCCTGGAGTGGAGGAGGTGTGAGGTGATCTGAGTCCTGTGTCATCCCTCTCACTGTCCATTCACAGTGGGCACCTGGGCAAATTACTCCTTGTCTCGAGGCTTTGTTCCCTCCTGAGAAAAGAAAAGGGTTGGATCACTGAATATCATTTGCCAAGTACTTATTGAGGGCTATGTGCCAGCTACTGTGCCCAGTGCCAGAATTATAAGGTGAGTCGGCAGCCGTGTCAGGGAGAGCATGCCCTTCCCAATCAACCCTCACTTTAGCCCCAGCTCTGTCACCGCTGTCAGCTTGACCTCTCTGAGGCTTGCCTTGTGATTGCAGAGGTCGGAAGGGCCATCACATCTGATCTGTGCCTGATCCATGAGCCCTCCTCTGTAGATTCATTATGGTCTACCCCATCCTGAATAGGAAGGCAGGCCAGGGCAGCAGGGACTGAGTGTGGCCCACACCACCAGACTTCAGAGCCTGGAAGCAGCCCTTCACGAAAGTGAGAGTCCTGTCGGAAGTGGCCGGTGAGGTCCTTTCAAGAATCCCAAGTGGGGAAATGGTGACTTCTGTGAGCTCTGCTGCTCACCTGCGTGTGCACACCTGCTGGGAGTTGGAAGCACCTGCCTCCAGGGGGTCCTGCTCAGGCATGAAGAACGGTAGATGGGCTGGAGGTCTTGTTCCCTAGGGGACTTGTCACTGGATGATCAGCTGAGGGAGTAGAAATGGAGTGGGGACTGGATTTGCTACAAATCACCCGAAATAATTCTGGGACGTGAACGGTAGACAGAGTGTGAAAGTATCAAGAGATGAAAACCCAAAGAGTTGTGCTTCATGGCTGTTGGAGGCAGTGTGTGTTCTGAGTTCAGATCCTGGTGTCAACAGTACTAGCTGTGTGAATTTGGACCCGTCATGTCATTCATTCCCTGAACAAAACTTGTTGATCCTGTCTGTAAATGGGGCTTACAGTAGTCCCCACATGGAGCTGAAGGCAGGCACATCTAGGATGTGTGAACAGCCCTAGTGCCGTGCTTGGCAGCCCTCAAAAGTGCTTGGAGTTGTGGATGGATGGTGAGTCACCCCATTAGGCAGACCCAACGCTGAAACAGGCGGATTGAGGCCCATCTGAGGGTCAGCATTGAAGAGTATGAGTAGAAGAGGTGTCTTGGTGTGTCACGAGCTTCCCATCTATGGTCCCGTGTGCTAAGTTAATCTGGAATCGGAGAATTGTGTGACTCAGAGTCTTCCCACTCAGGTGCTTTGCCTCCAGCTAAAATCAGCTCAGATGATGAACTGTTTTTAAGGACTCACCCCAGAACTGCTAATGTCATTGGCGGTTTGATTTTATTTTTCTCCTAAGGTAGGCCCTCACTGTCTACAACAGTGATGGCAAACCTATGACACGTGTGTCAGAGGTGACACGCAAACTCATTTTTTTGGTTGATTTTTCTTTGTTAAATGGCATTTAAATATATAAAATAAATATCAAAAATATAAGTCTTTGTTTTACTATGGTTGCAAATATCAAAAAATTTCTATATGTGACACAGCACCAGAGTTAAGTTAGGGTTTTTCAAAATGCTGACACGCCGAGCTCAAAAGGTTCGCCATCACGGTGCTGTCCTCTCCTCTGTTTTTACTCTTTTTACTTATGCTCTCCCCTCTGTCTGAAGTGCCATGTCCCCTGCATGTCACCAGACTGACTCTTGCTCCTTTAAAAAGACTCAGCTCAGCCCCTACCCTCTTGAACCTGGGACCCTTGAGTCCGAAGGCCGACGCCCTATCCACTGAGCCAAACCGGTTAGGGCAAGTTAGGGTTTTTCAAAATGCTGACACGCCAAGCTCAAAAGGTTTGCCATCACTGGTCTACAGAGTGGATACAGGATAAGGACACACAATCAAATCAGTCTCCCATGATTTTAAGTCAAAACCAGAGGTTATTGTATTGTTTAGTAGGCAGTAGTAACAAGCCCTGGACCATTTGGAAAACAGCTTAGTTCTGGAGGGAAACAGTGCGAGGGTGGGTCAGAGGCCCTGGGTTGAGTCCTGCTTCTGCCACTTTCTAACTAGGTGATCTTGGACAAGTGATGGCCCCTCTCTGGGCCTCAGTGTCCTTGTCTGTACAGAGATTGCCTCCCTGGCTTTCGTATAGACCAGTGGTCGGCAAACTGCGGCTCGCGAGCCACATGCGGCTCTTTGGCCCCTTGAGTGTGGCTCTTCCACAAAATACCACATGCGGGCGCGCATGTACAGTGCGATTGAAACTTCGTGGCCCATGTGCAGAAGTTGGTATTTTGTGGAAGAGCCACACTCAAGGGGCCAAAGAGCCGCATGTGGCTCGCGAGCCACAGTTTGCCAACCACTGGGATAGACCATAATGAATCTGCACAGGTGTGGGAAGTGAAGTGTGAGGCTCTCAGGTGCCTATGCTGTACAGCTAAGGGACAAGCCTGGAACTTGCTTCTTCCCATCTTGTCTGGCCTCCTGATAAGGAGTTTTGAGGGAAGCAGAAATGGAGGAAGAGTTAGAAGGAGCAGCATCTTCTCAAAGAAGTGGTGCTGCCATAGGTGGGACTGGGTGGGGGCGTCTGAGCTTTCCTGGGAGAAGCTGGGCCTGAGGCCAGTGTGATCAAGATAGGTGGCTGGAATGGAGGGGCAAGAAGATGAGGCTGTGCTGCTGCAGCAGCGCCTTGGTGGGCTGGATGTGCCAAGCCCGAGGAGGTGTTTGGCTCATAGTCTGGCCCCCTTGGCCATCTTTGGTCTGGATGCCTTCCACAGATCCCAAGGCCCACCTTTATTCTAAGGCCACTCCTCCAGAACCTTCTGGCCCGGGGCCTCTCCGGTGGAGACTGAGACACATCCCCCTTCACTCAGTGTACTTGGCTTTTCTTTCCAACCAAAGCAGGCTCATCGCCACCTGCTCTGCCCCTGGGTCACTACCTGGAATATAACAGATGCTCAGTAAATGATTGTCAATTATACAAGATGACAACATTCAGGAAGGAAAAGTTACTATGAGATTACCTTGGTCCCAAGTGACTGTCAGTCCATTTTACACACCATCTTGGGTCTAATACAAGCCCTAAATTCCAGATTCTGTCAGTCTGAAATCTGGTCAGTCAGCCATTTGCCAGACTACAGAGAAAACGGATGTAAAGGAGGGTTTTAAGGAGCTGCTTACTAAGACTGACCGCTCCGACTTCCTTCCCTCGCTGAGCAAACCCTGACTGCCTAACCCTGATGTGCAAGGCAGTGGGAGCAAGAGGCCAAATTTTTGCAGGCCTGGGTCTGCAAAAACTCTTGGCCAGTGGGCAGGACAAGAAGACAGCTGTCGCCACAGTGGTCAGTGTCAGGCATTCGGAGCACAACTCATTTTGTCTCCAGTGACCGCATGAGGTAGGAACTGTTATCTCTGTCTTACAAATGAGTCTCAGAAAGGTTAAGGAGCTTGACCAAGGTCATAGCAAAAAGCAGAGGAAGGGATCAGGGAAGGCTGGAGAAGGCCGACATTGGCATAAGCCATGTACAGAGGGAGTGAAGGGTATCCAGGCAGAGCGCACAGGCCGTGATGCCAAGGCCCCATGGAAAGCTTGGCATGGTTGAGTCTTTGGATTAGTAACAGGTCAGCAGGCAGCAGGTCATACAGGAACTTGTTGACCATGCCAAGGCATTTGAACTTCATGAGGGTGGTGAGGAGCCCTTTGAAGATCATGATGAGCAGATTTGTCTTCCAGAAAGCCAGTGAGTGCTGGCCGGGTGGGAGCTGGCCTAGAGACAGTAAGCCCCACTCCCAAGTGTTTGCCTCCACTTCCTGGCCCTTGCTCTTCCTCCTGACCTTAGCCTGTGTGTTTCAGAGTGGCATCCCCTGCCAGTGCCAGCACCCTTCACGTTCTGAGCCGCTACAGCCGCTACACAAGCATCCTGGACCTGGACAACAAAACCCTACGCTGCCCCCTTTACAGAGGCACCCTGGTGCCCCGGCTGGCAGACCACCGTACTCAAATCAAGCGGGGCAGCACCTACTACCTGCACGTCCAGAGCATGCTCACCCAGCTCTGCTCCAAGGCCTTCCTCTACACCTTCTGCCACCACCTGCACCTGCCTGCCCATAACAAGGAGATAGAGGAGTTGGTTGCCAGCCGGCAGGCAAGCTTTCTGAAGCTGAATCTGGGTCTAGTGAATGAAGATGTCAAGGTGGTCCAGTACCTGGCTGAGCTGCTGAAGCTGCACTATATGCAGGAGTCTCCTGGGACCAGCCAGCCCATGCTCAGGTTTGACTATGTCCCCAGTTTTTTGTACAAAATCTGAGGTCAGTTCCAGCCACTGTGACTCAGGGCACAGGAAAGAGAAGGGTTGGCGTGACATGACCAAGCAGTCCTCTGAGCGGTTTAGACTTCTGGTGTCATAGGTGGGAAGGAAACCAAGGTGGCTTCAGGCAGCTTGCAAGTTGGACTTGGGCAGAGGGAGGAGCCTGGCTCTCTGAAAGCATCCAGGACAGTAACAGCTCTCTTGTCTCCCTGGTAAGAAGTGAACCTGGAGGGAGCTCTTGGCCTCCCAAGGACTGGTAGCCAGGGCAGAGGAAAGCCTCAGTGGGGTGGGATGAGGGGCAGGAAGGCAAAGCCATGATGGGAGGACCATGTGGCCACGCTCATCTTCACTGAACACTTGAGTGGCAAAATCAAGTAAAACAGCCTGTTAACTGGAATGATTTTGTGGAAAACAAGAGGGTGGAATATCTGTTGTCTCATTCAAACCCCAACTGAATGGCCTCCTAGAGCCTGTCATCCCAGGGGAGGCCCCTGAGTGAGGGGAGGGAGAAAGCTCTGCCCCCGCTGGGTGGTGGGGAATGCCAGCCTCCAGGCCCCAATGCTGAGGGAGTGAGCAGCTCCCTGTCCCCATCCTCACTTCCTCACCTTGCACAGCGTTCCCACAGGCAGCAGGAGAGAGTGGAGTGTCACTAGTCCCCAGTTGTCAGTGGGAACTGCTCTTTGAGGTAGAGAGCCCAGCCAGGGCCGAGGGTCCGTGAAGCCATCACCACTGTGCGAGCGATGAAGAGCCAGCAGGGCCTGGCCCAGATGTATTTTTGGCCAGAGTGAGTCAGCACTGTTCTCTCACCCAAAGCAAACCCTTGCAACCACTTCACTACCTCTCGCGGGGTCTCTCAAGCACGGGACAGCAGAGTTCTGTTCAGCTGGCTGGTGTGGGTGGGCAGCCCAGATGGTGGTGATTCGGGGCTGGGATTTCCTCCAGGCAAGAGGACAGCTGTCTTCGTGGACCTGCCTGGCAGGTTGCACAGGCCTGGCGTGTGGGCACTTCAGGGCAGCTTACTTCTGCCCATGTGTGACTCCCACCTTCTCAGGAGATGTGCCCAGGTCCACCACCACAACCGCCCTGAGCTACTTACAGTTGCCACTGGTATGTAGATGGAGGGTTTCTTGCAACCTTGATAATTTGATACCTTTCTTTTAAAGCTGTTTTCCCCCTTAAGTAGGGAGAACTCTCGGTATTACTGCTTTTTAATTTGTTCCCACAAAGTTGTGATAAAACAACCCTGAGCCAGTGACAAGTGGTGCTCCTGGGCGCGTGTGCGTATCTACTGGGGCCGTGCCCTGCGTGCTGAGACCTGGTCTGCCTGTCAGTGTGGGGCACACCATTGAAGTCACAGAGGAGAGGCACACCTCTGGTGACTAAGGAGGGTTTGCGTCCCATCACTCCTTTGGTCCCTTCCTCGCCCAGGTCCTCTGCACAGGATACGGCCCGTTGGCTCCCACCCAGCAGTTTCTGGTCAGTCCCCATTCCTGTCAGGGCAGGGATTTCCTCCAGAAAAGAGGAAGGCCTTCTCACGTGGCTGTCTTTCTGGATGTGTGAGTTTGCCCCTGAGGCCGTGACTGAGAACTTTGGTGGTAAATGGTGTTGCTTACACTTGTTGGTTTCCTTGTACCTCCGGCTGTTGCATGTTCACACACAAGACGGCGCTCCAGGAGCTGCCGGCAGCTTTGACAGGTGAGGTGTTGGCCTGCGGGAAGGCTGCACAGGAAGCCTGCTTCTCAGTGAGCTCCGGGCCTGCGACCGGCTCCCCTCCTTCGTGTTCAAGATGCTGCTTTGTTTCTAACTGGGTGGCTAATTGCTGTCACTTAGGCCTCCAGGAGCATGAGCTCGTGCCATCTTACCTCCAAGGGGAGAAAGGCCTTAGGGTCCCAGGGACAAGATGGACAGTGACCGCTGGCACTAACACTGATGTCTCATTCCTGTTTCCCTCGACACGGACTCTGGTTAACACTGTTCTCATTGGAAACGGACATAGGCAGGGGAAACGGCCTTCTAGGAGCCCACAGCCATGTCTGCCATAGACGTCCGCTTTGGAGGGTGTGTGCTCAGAAGCTTGGCCTCAAGGACAGTCCCGAAGGCCTGAGGACTAAGGCACGGCAGTGGCTGTAAACAGGAGAGGCTGCTCCACAGCGCGGGCCAGAGCCCACGGGGCAGCGCACGGGAGCTGGTTCCGCACGGAGAAGTGCATTGGCCTCACTGAGGAGAGGGTGAACTCCAGGATTTAAATTTGGGTTAAAATCTAACTTTTCAGGGTGACAGTTTCAAAGGATTGCCTGATGCCCAGTGTGTTTCTTTTCAAAGGGATGGAAGTGGCACTTGGGCTGGGGGGTTTGGGCAGAGGCAGTTGAGACTGAAGTGGGACCTAGCAGATGCAGCTATAAAGGGTAATGGTGGGGAGCCCTATGCAACGGACTGATCATTTCTTCAAGAACTGTGGTTTGATGTTGTCCTGTAGTATAGCCCAGTGTTAATAAAACATTTACAAACACTTCCCAGACAATCAAGGACATCGGTGCCCCTATTAATTCTTTAGTCCCACAAAGGCCCAGGCACTGAAACGGAGTTTTCTTTGCTTCCTTTACCTGCCTCCCTTCCCTTTGTCCACGCAGTCCCCGGTCACAGAGCTGCCTGGGCTGCAGTCACGTAGTGACCCCCAGGAGCTCCGTTAGCGCACGGCTGAAGCGTCACAGCACCCAGGGACCTTGCTCCTGTAGTGGGATCTTTGAAGTTTAGAAATTGTGACTTTTCCATAATTGACTGCAATGGCTGAGGTTATACACATTACACCAGATTTGGAAACGGGCCATGGTAGCTCACCTGTTATTTCCCATTTAGCTTTTAACTTTATTTCAGGTTATTGTATTCGAAGTATAGTAGACTTCAACCCCCAACAAACAACAAATCCCATTTCAAAATCCAAGGAAGGCCAGTATTTCTACCCCAAATGCCAGGCCTGTTGTGGTACAGATGTGTGTCTGGAGGCCAAGAGTGGTCTTGAAGATCTTGCCTTTGCACTGACCACCGCCTGCCCCACTCCCTGGCCCGACGCTGCAGGGCAGGTCAGCTGCTGCTACGTCATCTTTGCACAGGTGGTAGCACTCAGCTGGTGGCCAGCCGGGGGTGGGGGGACTTCAGAGGCACTGATTCCCCAAGCTAGCAATCAGATGCTACCTCCTATGTCAGAAGAATGTGTTTTGGTTCGTGCTCTGAATCAAACCAGCCAGCTTTCTGATTTTTCTCCAATACTGTTAAAGTGAAAAAACTGGAATCTTTAAAAGAGATAAGGAAAAAGCATCAAGTTTCTGCTTCTGGCTAGAAACAAAAACGGTCTCAGCTGATAAGGCTGGAGCACACCAAGGTTTCCTGAGCCTTTCTCTGTTGAGCACTGACCTAACATGGCCTCACCTAGTAAGGTTGTTACACACGGGAGGAGGACGCAGGAGAGAGGGAATGGGCACTTTGCTGCTGCTGGTGGGGAGCCCTGGCTTCTGGGGCTACACAAGGGGTCTTGGATATGTCCCTTCGTCTTCAGCTGGGGAAGAAACAAGCCCCTAAAGGTAAGCCTTTGAGCAATGTAACAGCTCCCAGATTGAGGCATAGATGTGGGTACCCGCGTGCACTCACCCAGAGACTGCGCTGGAGCCATCGCCAACACACTGGACACTAGGCCACAGGTGCCTTCCAGGCGGGACCACAGGGAGCCTCGGCCACCGACTGCCCGGCGCTGCTGGCGGCTGCACAGTCGGGCTGAGAGGTGCCGCCTGTGAGGCTGCAGTGACAAGCATCGTCTGTGAGGAAATCTCGTTTGTTATTTTTGGAAAGTATTTTATTACTGCATGTTTCTGTCCACGTCTGTGAATGGGAGTCTGACCAGCACGTGAGCTGCAGTCGTCACAGTGGCCAGAGTATGACAGAGACCCGGTGACAGCGGCTCCCAGGTACGGTTGCACCGGAGTTCAACCAGAGCAAATGCCAAACAAACAGTACGAGAAGTGTACTTTTTAAGAAATTAATTTATTTGAGTTATTTTTGAAATATAAAAATTGGTTGTATTTTTTAAAGCTGTAATTCTTGTAGACATTCTGTGGTTAAAAATTTGTGCTTATTAAAAATGGTCATTTATGTTTTGCACTTCAGCTTTATGAAAAATAAAGTTTCTCTGGGAAGGTGACATTTGGCTTCTTAATCACAGGAGGGAGTTCTCTCGAGGGTCCCTGGCTGAGGCTCCCCAGGAGGCTGCATACCCTAGGCTCTCCCACCTGCCCAGCTGAAGGGCGAGGACCACTGCCGTAGCGTGCGGGGCCGCTACTCGGAACCCGCGGCCTGGGGCACCTCTACGGGCATGTCTGACTGAGAATTCTGAGCCAAAGCACAGAGCAGAAGGGTCAGGTTTCCCTCTGCAGTTGTAAGGTCATGGTTCAGTTTCCTTTGCTGTCCCACCGGGGAACAAGCTACAAGCTTGGGTGTTTCTTAGCTGCTGCAGTGAGTCAGAGGAAGCCCAGTAACTAAGAGAAGGGTAAGTAAAGGTCCTGGAATCATTCCACTAGCTCTGCCCTACCCCACTGTCCCAATGAATGAAGGCTAAGTAGGATTCATTTTTACAGAATAACTCTAACAGAGCTGTGAGAAAGTGAGGTTTAGATTTATACTCCTTAATAATTGGTCCCAGAATTACTAACAGTGGGGCTTAAGCAGATTTTGATTTGTGAAGATAACATGAGAAAAGTCCCAAAGAAACCTCTGCGGAGAGCACCCAGAAGTTGACCAGGCCCTGTGTGGGGTGGTGCTTCTCCTCAAGGGCACTGTGTCCTTGGTCCTGACGCTCCCGCGGTGGGGCAGGTGCAGCCGGTGGCTCCTCTAAAAGTCCGGCAGGCCGGGCAGAGGGAAGAGAGACGCGAAGCTCTCCACCTCCTCCCGGAGGGCTCGGACGGCCCCACGGTGCTGCTCATCCCCTGCTAGCTTCTCCTTGAACTCCTTCAGGCTGGCCTTGTCCCCAACGTCCTTCTGAATCTGCAGAGTCAGTTCTATCCCTGTGTGGCACATAAATGAGTCCTCTGGGACCAGGAGACACCCCCAAGACCCAGATAGCCCAGCTGGGGGGTGACAGCCGGAGGGATTCATGTTCACCCCAGAAATGATTTTTGTATGCACCCTCCGTGAGCAGGACAAGTTTACAAAGGTTTCAGATCAATGGTTTGCTAAGTGATTTCTGCTGTTGCCTGTCCCCAACACTCAGCCTTGACACAGAAGCGTCCCTCAGTGGCTGGGTCGCCACTGTTCAGAGACTCCATACACACAGTATGAGGTGTCAAACTTCCAAACCGATATCCTTACCTTTGTGAATAAAGTGGGCTACTTTCTGGAACTCTGTTTCCAGAAGTCCTCGGGACGTCAGTGCTGGGGTCCCCAGTCGCAGCCCACTGGGCCGCAGGGCGCTTCTGTCACCTTCAACAGAAACAGGCTCTGTACTTGGGCCGCACTCAAACTCACCTCTGACCACTGTGTGTTGAAAAGGGACCCTTGGGCAAAAGAACAGGCCTGCATGCCCTAACCGGTTTGGTTCAATGGCGGACTCAAGGGTATGTACCTTGGTTGTGGCCACATCCCCAGTAGAGAGTGTGCAGGAGGCGACTGATCGATGTTTCTCTCTCCTGCAGATGCCAGTGTGTCTGGTGAGACGGGCACCGACTCCCACGGGAGAGGCAGGAGCAAGGCGCAGGCAGCGGCACACTGAGGGCTCTGCTTTAACAGAAAGTCACCTTCTGTGACGTGGCCTTTGCTCCTAAAAACGAGGCCAGCCTCTGGGTTTGGATTGCATCACCATCCTCGTTAACCTACCGAGAGCCAGCCTGCTTTCCAGCGACCCGGCCTCCCTCCCTGAAAAGCCTTCTCACTTCTCAGCACCCCCTCGCCCGGTCCTGGCTGGAGCTGGGCGAGGCAGCCCAGGAGAACCCCTGCTGAGCTCCCACCCGCCACGGCACAGGCAACCCCCGAGCATCTGAGCCAGGTATCACAGCGGTAACAGCCCGGAAATGCAGACAAGTGTGGAAGAGAAGAGCGAGGAGGATTCGCACCTGGGCAGGTGTTCTTGTTGCAAGCAATAGAACAGGCTTCTAGCACCTTCTCAGCCCGGCCACCATCTGTGCCTTTGGAGCGGAGATCCACGAGGATCAAATGGTTGTCAGAACCACCTGGAAGCCAAGTTGGACATGTAAGGATGCAGATGGTGACTCCACTCGAGTGGAGGAATTTCTCTCTCCTAGGAATGGACTGGGAGGACGGGGGCTGAAGCAGATGGGGCAGGACAGTGAGCCCCACCATGTGTCCTGGAAGGCTTCACTCGCCTCAAGGAAAGACGCTCAGGACCCTAGAGCTGAACAGAAAGGACCGAGTGGTGTAGGGTGCTCGGCGATGCAGCGGCTGAGGCTGAGGGGAGAATGACCAGCCTGCCCACTGCAAAGACCCAGCCACCGGCTGCCCGGCAAGGGCCTCCGCTGCCTGGGAGGGCGGCTCGCTCAGTGCCGCTCAGGATTCCGCCTTCTCTGACACATCACCTGGGCAGTCCCCACCCGTCTCTGAAGCCAATCTTCAAGCTCCCTCCGAGGCAGCAGGGGTGGTCCCGTTTATGGGACAGCGGGTACCCGCTCCCGCTGCTGAGCACGTGTTGGGCGCCAGCACTACTAGCTGTCATATCTGATCTCTACTCCTGCGAAGGGGATCGTAGCAGAGTGGTGCAGATGAAGATGGCGAGGCGACAAGAACATTCTGCAACTGGCCCAAGCGCCCAGAAGTCTTCCAAGTACAGTACCCAGATCTTTCCACTTTGAACTCTCATTAGTACCAAGTCACTGACTTGGGCAACCGCTGTGACTTCAAAGATGCCACAAACCAAGTCAGCGCTTCGCTCTGGACCTCACAGCCCAAAGCTTAAGGGACAGTCCCCACAGCCTCCCACTTTCTGGCCATGGCTTTAGGCAGGCAGCTCAGCATTGTGGAACCTCAGATGCCCATCTGTAACCTAAGACCAACAACGTGCAAGGCTGTCGTGAGGTTGAAATGAAGGCCTGTGAATCGTGCTTGGCCAGCGCCAGGCAGGTTGGTACCCAGACATGCTGGCTGCCATCACAGTGACCATGACCTGCTTCAGTCTTCAGAGCAGAGTGAAAGAGGGGTGAGGCCAGGCCAGGAGCTCAGGAAGTGGGGGACTCACCGGAGGCTCTGAGCAGCAGGGCTGTGGGGGGTGCCTGTATCAGACGGAGTTTGGCCTAAATCCTGGTAATGCCAACCAAGCCTGGCTCCCGACCAGCATCACCTGGGAGCTGGCTGGAGGCAGAGCCCGCCCAGGCCTGCATTAATATGCACATCCACGTTTGAGAAACAGTGACTTAGAGAACCTGGAAGGTCACAGGCCAGACAGAACCCTGGGGCTTTCTTCCCGGAAGATGTGGAGGAGGGAGGAGAACTCAAAGAAAGGAAGTGAAGGAAAGAGATGCTTCTCAGAGAACATGGCTGAGAACATGGCATTTGCCCAGCTCAGCTGCTCACCGGCCTAGTTGGGAGCCCGCTCCTCAGACGAGGGCCTGTAAAGGCAGCAGGCAGGGGCAGGCACCTGCATCCACAGGGGACCAGGACCCACCTTCCTGGGCCACCTCTGCTGGCACAGATGGCAGCCGGCGAGCCCAAGAAAGCTGCCCTTCCTCTCAGTAGCTAAGTACGCTCACTGCCTGCCAGCACCCGGGCCATGCTGACTCAGCCCGCAGGAACTGGGCAGGGACTGGGCACGGCTCACTCAGGGCCACCATCTCTGAGTTAAGGCAAAGGCGAGCATAGTGGGGTCTGAACTCCCTGGCCTCCAGGCAGCTGGTCTACTGCACCGTGGCCCTTGGGGTGAGTGGGGTCAGTCCTGCAGGCCATGCCAGGCACCGCTGTGGGGAAGGCCCTGGCGCTGCCACCCACTATATGTGAGCGCAGTTCCCAGCCTCTGGGTGAGCTCAGGGACTCCTTAGGCCTCACTGGCCCAGCAGGGGAGGCAGCTGTCCCCGTGTGAGGAGGGGAAGGCCGCAGGGCACAGCAACGCCTCTGGAGGTGCCTGACTCATACCCCACAGCCGCAGCCCAGGGCCCTGCTACAGCCACACCTGCCTGGATGAATCAGAAGCAGCAGGGTCACGGCCGAGATGAGTGGGTGCCACCCAAGTTTCTGTTGTACCTGTTACTATTTTGTAGCCCAGCTCCGTCAGGGCCTCAGCCAGCGCCCTGCAGTTGGCCACCACCTGCTGCTGGTACACCCGGAACTCTGGAGTCATGGCCTGCTTCAGAGCCACGGCCACCCCTGCAGGGAGACAGTGGTCAGGAGACGGGACGGAGCAAAACACAGGCTGAGACTCAGAGACCTGGTTCTGCTCGGGCTTGTTTTCCGCTGTCACGGAAAGGGGTGGATGACATCCCCAAATGACACATATTTCCAACCCTACAATGACCCAGCCACGCTGCCAGACATCTTGTTTGAGGATGTGCTTTTGAGGCAGCCTTTCTCCCAGGCGTGGGAGTTTGGTGCTGGTAAGCTTTCACAGGAGAGCTGTTCTAAGTGAGGCAGAGCTTGCAGGCAGTCCTCTACGCTCCATAGATGAAAATGCTGCTTAAAGCTGGGCGTTGATGCCAAATTACGCAGCCCTTTCAGATCAGATTCTAGGTGAGGGTGCAGGCCTGTGTTCAATCCTGCGGCTGCTTACGGGGCACAGAAATGGAGGAGAATGCAAAATGCACGTGCTGCGTCCCGCCAGAGGCTCCAGTCAGTGTGGCTGGAGGCTGGGCGATGCCATCCTCTGCGGGCGGAAGAAACTGCAGATGCTGAGCTTGTGGGTACAAAATGGGACAGGAAAACACCCCGGGAGGTGCCGGGCCGCCCACTGCCTGGTGCCTGACCTCCCCGCTCTGCCCCCTCCCTCTGGGGAACACTAGTGCTTCTCATGATGCAGGTTAGACCTTTGTCCTGGGCTGTCCTAGCAACTGCTTTGTTCCAAAGAAGAGAGTGGAGTAACTGAGGTCGTCGCAGGTTTTCTGAGCCGCTTGTACTGAGAGGGAATGAGTCAGGACTGCGTGCTGGGGTCCTGGAATCGGGTCCAGGAGCCACAGGTGCGGACCCAAGGCCAGCGGTGCTAGGACCCGACACAGGTGCCCCTCCCCCACAGGTCAGGGGAGAGGCTTTTTGTCCTTGCTAGCCCCCTCCCTTTGCCATGCCTCCTCCAGCTGTCAAATCCTCCCCCGTTGTTTCTTAAAGAGAGCTCCACACAGACCGGCCGGGCTCGGCTTCCCCGAGGGGCGGCCACACGTGTCCCTGCCTTGTGACAGTCCCCAGTTTCCCTGGGCTTCCTTGTTAGCATCTCCTAGATGGGGCATTCCTCTCGTTTCTCCCCAGCGTGGAAGTCCTGGCACGACTCTGGTGGATAGGTGAGGGGGAGTCGGGGCCACAGTGAACAGAAGGGGGGCTGGCGGCACGGGGGCTGCTGTGGGTGAAGGGATAGCCTCCGAGGCTCGGGTGGGTTTCTGGAGGTCCTACCAGCAATGGCGTGGTTGTGGGGCCCTCCCTGCAGCCCTGGGAACACAGCAGAGTTGATGAGCGACTCCAGGTTGTACAGGATCTCTTTGCCGGTTTTGGGGTCCGTGCTGCGCACTCCTGGATGAAGAAAAAGATCAGAATGGGAACCACCGATGGGCTGTTTTCTCCACCTGGACTCAAACCCAGACTGCGGAGCTGTGGGCGCTCCTCCTGGAGGGGAGACCTGCACGACATGCTGCGGGCAGAGAGGGCGCTGGCTGCCAGGTGGGCAGCCTGCCCTTTCACAGATGGAATGAAATGACGAACATTTCCCTCCAAGAGAGAGAGAGACCTTCACAAAGAACACGCCCTGGGCATATCTCCTCAGAGAAGCCAGAGGGCGCTCTGCAGGATGACCACTCTGAGGAGACAAGACTCATGTGGCTGGAGACGGGACTACGGCTCCCTGGGGAAGAGGTTACTAACCAGCACTAGGAGCACTGATGTGTGCAGAGGGCGGCTCTCAGCACTTTGCCCGCGTTAACCCGTCACATCCTCAACGCAGCCGGCCAAGGCAGGCGCTGCTGCTGGTCCTGCCCCGGAGCTGAGGGAGGGGCAGAGGCTCACCACTGGCCCCAGCCCCACGAGTCCAGCGGCTGAGTCGGCAACCATCGCCCAGGCGGGAGGAGGGCGACCTGCCCCAGACACCTCAGCGCACGGAAAGGACCGCAGGGTGCAGAGGCGCCCACTGTACACGGGTGGCCGGGCAGGGCTGGGGAGGAGCTGCTGGCAGGGTTCGAGAGACCCCGTCTCCCGAGGTGGCTTCTCTGCGGACGCCAGGCCCCTGCACAGGCCCACACGGCTCTCACATGTGGGAATCCCAAAATATGGGGGCGTCCACATACATGTGGGCTGGAAGCATCCCATTACTGGAGAGGGAAACTCCTTACTGCAATGATAAACGGCGCTATGACTTGTACATCGAGGCCTTACAGCTTGACTACTGGGAGTCTTTCTCTAGAAGGAACACGGCAAATTCACCAAAATAATTCTGTGCCGGCGCCCCTGGCTGCCTTGGCCAGCAGTGCACGTCTTCCTTCCCCTCCGGCACCTGCCCCACCAGGAGGCCGCCCGGCACGATGCCCTGCTCCTCCCCCGGGTCCGACAGCTGCGCTCCGGGCGTCTCTCCAGGTCCCCTGAACAGCTGTCATTACCCCTCATGTCTTCAAGGCTCCCCAGGCCAGAGTTGCCCCAGCCCCGTAAGCGGATGTGAACACCGAGGAGAGGAACCGGCCCCTCCCGCACGGCGCCCACACTGAGGAGCACACCTCGCCTGTAGAAGATCATGCCCGCGCGGCAGCCTCGCAGGGTCTTGTGGGTGGTGGTGGACACCACGTGGCAGTGTTCGAAGGGGGAGGGCACCACGCCAGCCGCCACCAGCCCGCTGATGTGCGCCATGTCAGCCATGAGATACGCCCCGTTGTCATCGGCAATCTTCCGCAATCGAGCGTAGTCCAGGTTTCGGGAGTAGCAGCTGGTTCCTAAGATGGCAAAAGTGACCCGTTGTCAGAGATGTGACTCCTGCACATCTGAAAGCCTGGAGACTTCTCCCTCCACAATCTGAGGACAGAAATGAAAGATGTTCTCGAAAAACATCTGGTGTCAAGGCAGCCACTCTGATCTCTGCCTCTTCCATGCCCTGGTGGTGGGGACGGCCCCCCACCCCCAGTCAGTCAGGGATTAACATTTCTAGATGCTTCTCCGGGAACAGCCTCGGACCTATTCCACCAGCGGCTAATTGTGATAAAACGGACATCTGTTCTGAGAGAAGGGTACACTTAGACCCAAGAAGCTCAGCCATCCAGGCAGAAACCAGCAGTGAGCAGGACGGGGCGAGGACTGGGAGCTCCCACCGCTGCTTCCCGCCGTTCATCCCCTGCGGTAATGAGGTCCATCCCCTGCGGTAATGAGGTCCATCCCCTGCGGTAATGAGGTCCATCCCCTGCGGTAATGAGGTTTTTCACCTGCGATAATGAGCTTCGGGTGGAAGAGGCGGGCGTTTTCCTCCAGCGTAATGAGGTCATCCCCTGCGGTAATGAGGTCCATCCCCTGCGGTAATGAGGTTTTTCACCTGCGATAATGAGCTTCGGGTGGAAGAGGCGGGCGTTTTCCTCCAGCTGGTCGTAGTTGATGTAGCCAGTGTCGGGGTTCACCTGTGGGAAGCCATGGACAGGCAGGCTCAGGCGCCTGCACCCCTCCCCCCGGGACTGGCACTGGCCATCAAGGGTCAGGCGACTCCTTCCACCTGCCCAAAGCTGCCTGCTCCTCTCCGCCATGAAGACAGGAAGGTGCCCAGGCCAGGCTTGAGGGTGAGGTGGGGTACCCTCATGTGTCATGCCCCTGTGGTGCCGACAACCAAGTCTCACTCACAGACCCACCAAGCCCCGAGGGGTTCTGGGAAAGTGAGCCCCGCCCCCAGGGGTCTCCTGGGATGAGAAGGAACTAGAAAGCCACTGTGGAGCAACAGGAGCGAGGCGAGCGAGCACCCCGCATGCAGGTGCCAAGGCAGCGCCTTCAGGAAGGAGCCAGAGGGCCCACCAATGGCTCCTCAGTCGCAGCCCAGGGAGGCCCCAGAGAGAAAGTCGTGGGGTTAGAAAGCCCCAGAGCTGACCTCACTCACTGCTTGTAAACCTAGGACATCCAAGACTCTAGATGCAGCTACCAGAACTAGGAACTGCATTTAGTGAGGCACTGGATGTAGGATCAAAAGCCAATTAAAAAAATCAATTAAAAAGTCAATTATATTCATATCTATGAGCAGCGAAAAACAGAAAATGAAATAAATTAATTATATCATTCATTAGTTTCAAAAGCCATAAAATATCTAACAAAAGATGTGCAAGACCGCTACCCGGAGCATTACTGAGAGAAATGTGAAAGCACTCAAAGTGACAGAATGAAGGCTGTGCGTGGGGAGGGCAGTGTGGCAGCAGAGCGGGCGGGGAGAGCTGGCTGGACAGGCCGCCGCCCAGGCGGTGCGGGGCTGCAGGGCAGCGAGGCCTGCCAACACGTACCACAGCCACCGCTGGCCTCCAGAAACCAATTCAATTCCAGATGGAGTGCAGATGGTAAGACAACTTTTCCCTTTTTTGGCAGCACATTTCTTAGTAAGTTCAACTTATTAAAGTTATGTTAAAGCATTTATGCTAACGGGAAGTAAAAATAGTCACAGGGGGCCAGGGTGGCTCAATGGTTGAACATCATCCCAGGCACCAGGAGGTCAGGGTTTGATTCCCAGTCAGGGCACATGCCCAGGTTGCGGGCCCAATCCCCAGTGTGGGGCATGCAGGAAGCAGCCGATCCGTGTTTCTTTCTCTTGGATGTTTCTATCTCTCTCTCCCTTTCTCTCTCTGAAATCAATAAAAACATATTTGAAAAAAAAATCTCAGGGGGTTACTGTAGGAAAGACTTAGGGGTGTGGGGGGCATGGGAGCCCTCAGGGAGGAGGTGGTGAGAAACTTCTCCTGTGGAAGCCCCACCCCATGGAGGGAAGGATTTGGGGTTAGGTGGTCACCCTTTCCAAATAAAAAAAATGCTTTCAGTTCAACACAATCACAGATGTGTGTGTGCAAGGGGTTCCACCTGGGAACCAAGGAGTCATCTGGAAAGCAGGCTGAAAGACGATCTGTGGTTTTGTTGTATGCTTTGTTTTAAGGATGCAGCTGATTCTTTCTTAGTCACCTAAACTCAGCAAAGACACTGTTAACTGAAAAATCAATGGCTGATCCACATTAAAAAAATGGACATTCTATAAATTTTAGAGGACATAATTACCCAAAAGAATCAGTTGCTACTCTCTCCCTGCACATTTTGCTTTTGAAACTTGTGGGATATTTTTTAAGTGTTTTTTGTTTGTTTTTTTAAATTTCAAAAATTCGGCAATAAAACAGCTCCTGGAAGAATTCACAAGCATGTAAACAACTGCCCTGTGGCCAGAGCAGAGTGGAGGCCTCGGATGGAGGGAAGGAGCCCCTCCAGGCACAGGCCCAGCGGGAGGAGGTTCTAGTCGCGGAGAGCGACAGCAGGTGCACGAGCCAGCTGTTTCTCCATAGAGAAGGATGGCCTGGCCCAGGGGTGGGCGGAGCCTGGTGTGAAAGTCCCAGGGGGCAGGGCTGAAGGGCTGAAGGGCTGGGCGAGAAAGCAGCCTGATGGGTAACAGTTGCTGCTGAAGGCCCATCAGGTTTGTGTCCTCCTGCCTGACCACCAAGGCCGGTGCCCACAGCCACCCTCCAGCAGGTGAGCCGGCCAAGCTGGCCAGGGTCCTGGTCCCAGCCACTCCACACCCCACAGGCCCACCACTGGGCTGGCCTCCCGTGTGTCCATGGGACTGCAGCCTGCACAGTGCGTATCAAAGAAGAGGGTGGCTGTGGGGGTAACTGGGGTGCAGCCCAGGCTTGCTAATGCCAGGAAGACTTCAATAACAGCAGACATTGGGCTAAAGAGCAGGAGGCTCCCCAAAGGCCCCCCTGAAGGTTGAAGAACAAGCCCGTGGCTCCTCTGCCACCATGCTTTCCCTGGTGAAAGAAACCAGGAACCGGCTTTTGTGCTCAGTGCAAAGACAGAGCATTGTATTACTGCTGTCCTGTTTCCACGTTCAAGGTCAGCACTGCCAGTGCAGACACCGTCACTGGAAACACCAAGGCTTTCCATGGAAAGCAATGAGCCAGCACGTGCACTCAAAGAGCATATGCCCTGGCCGGTAGCTCAGTAGGTCAGAGCATAGTCCTGATACGCCAAGGCTGCGGGTTTGATCTCTGGTCAGGGCACAAACAAGAAGCAACCGTGAGTCACATATAAGTGAAACAACAAATCGATGCCCCCCTCCTCTTCCTCTCTCCCCTCAAAATCAATGAAAAAAAAAAAGCATATGTGCAATTGCTAGAACTGAGACAAAGGCTAATAAAACAGCAAACAGCCCTAGCCAGTTTGGCTCTGTGGATAGAGCGTTGGCCTGCGGACCAAGGTTCCCAGGTTCAATTCTGGTCAAGGGCACGTACCTTGGTTGCAGGCTCTTCCCTGACCCGGGCCCTGGTCAGGGCATGTACAGCAGGCAACCAATTGATGTGTCTCTCTCACGCTGATATTTCTGTCTTTTTCTCTCTCTTCCACTCTCTCTAAAAATCAATGGAAAAATATCCTTAGATAAAACACACAACAAAACAAAACAGCAAACAATCAAGGATATGCAACAACGCTGAAAACGCCGAGAGAGTTCAATGGCTTGTTTTTGCCTCCGGAACCCCCCACTGGGGATCCAGCCACCAATCCGGGCATGTGCCCTGACCAGTTCGTAGGTCAATGCTCAACTGAGCCACACCGGCCACGGCTCTTTCTTTCTTTCTTAAATATGTTTTTGTTGTTGTTAGTCCTCACCAGAGGATATTTTTTCCATTATTTTTCAGAGAAAGTGGAAGGGAGGGAGGAAGGGAGAAACATTGCAGCGATGTGAGAGAGACACACTGACTGGTTGCCTCCTGCACGAGTCCCAACGGGGTGGGGACTGAACCCAAAACCCAGGTACATGCCCTTGACCAGGAATCGAACTGTGAGCACAGGCCAACACTCTAACCACTTAGCTCCAGCCAGGGCTAAATATGTTTTTATTGTCTTTTGTGTTTTTTGTTTGTTTTTAGAGAGAGAGGGGAAGGGAGAGGGGGAGAGAGAAACATCAACTGGTTTCCTCCTCATACTGCCACCAGGGATTGAACCCAAAGCCTGCGTATGTGCCCTGACCGGCATCACCTCTCAGTGTACAGAGGACACTTCACTGAGCCACACGGTCCGGGCAGCTTGATTTTCTTAAAAGGATAACATGTGTCTGATATTCAACCACGCGGAATAGTGCATGGCTGCCTTTGCTCTGATGGGATGAATGAAAGGAACCAGGGACGGCCCACTGAATACGCGCCGCGAGGAGAGAGTCCCGGGCACGAGGAGAATCAGCGGCACAGGGTGTACCATGAGCACGTGTGCGAGTCACCTCTCTGTACCATCTCTCTACGCATCTCCACGGCGAACTCCCTGCGCCCCTCAGGAGCCCACGGATCTCACATGCAGCTACACTTTTCTTTATTTAATCTAGAGAGGGAGGGGGAGAGACACTGATTGTTGTCCACCCATTCACGCACTATTGGTTGCTCCTGTATGTGCCCTGATTGGGGATGGGACCCTCACCCTTGGCATATCGGGATGATGCTCTAACCAACTGAACTACATGTTTTTTTTTGTTTGTTTGTTTTTAACGAAACTGTTTATAATGACAAGGGCCCCACATAAACATGTGCTGGTCCCGCGATGGGCATCAGGCCTGGCTCAGGAGGCTGACGAGGTGCTGGTGGGGGCTGCTGGCGGCGGCGGGAGCTCCGCTGCACCTGCTGTCACTAGGGGTCCAGCTGGGGCACCTGGTTGTTGGGAGCTGTCACTGCCCCTCGTTCTGGAGCAGCTGGCAGCCCTGCTGTGGCTGGAACCCCCTACGCAGTTGCCTCCCCAACCGCCCCCAGCCTGCCCTGCATGCCTGAGGAGTCCCCAGGGCAGGGAAATGACAGGTGGTGAGAGTGGGGACTTCCCCTGGTGCCAGGTGAACAACTCATTCCTGCTGGTGCAGCCACACACTGGCGGCTTCCTGAGGAGACAGGCGGTGGGGCTGTGGAGAGAGGGGCACTCTTACCTTATAGGGCATAGATTCAAAAAAGATGGATGTAGCAGAGATTTTCTTCTTGTCCGTCATGAACCCGTGGGTCAGGTGGCCTCCGTCGGGCAGGTCCAGGCCCATGATGCGCCCGTGGGGTTCCACCAGGGCGGTGTACACTGCGAAGTTGGCAGGGGAGCCTGGACCGGGCAGACCAGAGGGCGTACAATTGCTTCTGCCCGTGCGGCACCTGGCAGGACCCCAAGCTCGGCCACCAGGCCATCCACCAGAAGTGGCCACCACATGGAACGGAGTGAGATGCTCCGTCTCCGACTCCATCAGGTTCAAGTCTGTGTGGCTCCCATGGCCTTCAGGCTATCAGCCTGCTCCGGACGTGCCAATCACTAGAGGACGTCTGCGGGGCCTCAACTCTGCTTTCTTAACAAGGGTTTGAGGGTTAGGGCCCCATCTTCTCGATCGACAAATCTTTCCTTCCTCCAAACTCTGAGTTTTGGCCTTTCAAAGTGTGGGGCACGCGACTTTGGACTGGAAACAATGCTGCATTCCTCGAGCCCCCTGAGGTCTCCCCACACCAACCCCTTTGAGAGTGAGGGAAGGGGCGGGTCAGACAGGGCACTATCCTTGAGAGGCGAGAAGAGCGGGAGCCAAGGACATGGATAAAGACAACCGCGCCAGGCGGGGCTTTTCCTAGCTTTTGTGTATGGGCAGCCCTTCGCAGGCTCCTCCCCACGGACACTGGCCAGGCCTCCCTGGACCTGGTAGTTAGTTACCCGAGTAGGGCTGGACGTTGACCCCCCAGCACTGGGGGTCCAGACCGTAGACCTGCAGCGCTCGCTTCTGACAGAGGATCTCCAGCTCATCAACAAACTCAGTCCCGCCGTAATACCTGCGTGAGAAGAGCAGGAGACTTAGGCCCGCTCTGGCAGAGGCCAAAGAACCTCGCGCAGGACGGAACAGGAGTGCAGCCCTGGTGTGAACCACAGGACTCGCCTTCTCAGTGCCCGGCTCCGACACTGAGTTAGTGTCTCCTCATTGACGAGGAAACTGACGTCAGCTGCAGGGCCAACCTCGCATGAGCATTGTGCTAAGTGAAACGAGCCGTTTCAGCACTGACTGCCCCTTATATAAGGTGCCAAGAGCAGTCACATTCACAGAGACAGAATGTGCAGTGGTGGTTGGCCAGGGGCTGGGTGGAGGGAGAGGTAGAGGGTTTTTGCATTTCTAATAAAATTTTACTTCTCACTGAATAATAACATATCAAAATTTCTCATATATTTATGTTTTTTATTGGTATACATACTAATAATCGTAATAACTCAATCCAGAAGAAATTTTTAACACTTAGGCCCTGTGGTCACAAAAAGCTTTGAAATTTTTTAAATTAAATTTTTTGAATTAAATGTGTTTACATTTTTAAATTATAATAAAAGTCACATAACATAAAATTTACCATCTTAATCATTTTTAAAAAAATGTTTTTACTGATTTTTAGAGAAAGAAGAAGGGAGAGGGAGTGAGAGAGGAACATCGATGCTCCTGCATGCTCCCCCCCGGGGACTGAGCCAGCAACATGGGCATGTGCCTCCACCGGGAATCAAACCAGCGACCCTTTGGTGCATGGGACGATGCTCAACCAACTGGGCCACACCATCGTGACCATTTTTAAGCACACAGTTCAGTAGTGTTGAGTGCCTCATGTTGATAAGTACTCACATTGTCACACAGCAGATCTCTAGAACTTTTTTTTTTGGTGTGATCTTTTTTTTTTTTATGTTCTAGAACTTTTTCATCTTGCAAAACTGAAACTCTACACCCGCTGAACAACTCCCCATTTCTCCCTCCCCCAGCCCCTAGGAACCACCATCTAGTTCCATTTCTATGGTTTGACTACTCTAGGGACCTCACAGAGACGGAATCATATAGTATCTGACTTCTTGTGACCAGTTTATTTCACTTAGCATAATGTCCTCAAGGCTCATCCTTGCAGCATGTGATAGGATTTCCTTCTTTTTTTATTGTATGTACTAGAGGCCCGGTGCACGAAATTCGTGTGGGGGGGTGGGGGACCCCTCAGCCCAGCTGCACCCTCTCTCAATCCGGGACCCCTTGGGGGATGTCCAACTGCCGGTTTAGGCCTGTGGGATTGGGCCTAAACTGGCAGTTGGACATCCCTCTCGCAATCCGGGACCGCTGGCTCCTAACTGCTTGCCTGCCTGCCTGCCTGATCGCCCCGACCCCTCTGCCTGCCTGCCTGATCACCCCTAACCCCTTTGCCTGCCTGATCGCCCCTAACCACTCTGCCTGCCTGCCTTATGCCCCTAACTGCTCACCTGCCTGCCTGATCTCCCCTAACCACTTGCCTGCCTGCCTGCCTGATTGCCCCTAATTGCCTCTGCCTTGGCCCCTGCCGCCGAGGCTTAGTCCAGAAGGACGTCTGGAAGATCGTTCGGCTGTCCGGTCTAACTAGCATATTACGCTTTTATTATTATAGATAGACCACCTTTGCTTATCTACCTGTCCATCAATGGACACTTGGGTTGCTCCCATATGTTGATTACTGTGACTAATGCTGTTATGAACATGGTGTACAAATATCTGTTTGATTCCCTGATTTCAATTCTATTGGAATATATACCCAGAAGTGGAATTGCTGGATCATATATTTTTCATTTTTTAAGGAACCTGCATACTGTTTTCCACAGTGACTGCACATTTTACATCCCTACCAACAGTGCACAAGGGCTACTCCTCTATATTCTCACCAATACTTGTGTGTGTGTGTGTGTTTCTATAGTAGCCGTTCTAATGGGTGTGAGGGAATAGCTCACTGGGGTTTTGATCCGCACGTCCCTGATGTTCAGTGATGCTGAGCACCTGGTTCAAGTGCTTGCTGGCAGGAGTTACAGTTTAATGGGTACAGAGTTTTGTTTATGCAAAATGAAAAAGTTCTGGAGATGATGGTGGTGATGATTACACCATATTGTGAATGTGCTTAATGCCACTGAACTGCACACTTAAAAAGGAAAATTTTCTATTATGTATATTTTACCACAATAAGGAAAAAGATGAATGAGGGGTTTTATTCACAATAAGGCAGGTTAGTAGGAAACTAGGAAAGTTCCTTGGCAAGTGGGCTGGGGAAACTGAGACAGAGAGCTGAACAAACTGGCCAGCAATCCACAGCAGATACAGGTCAGCCGGGCACAGAGCCCTGGGTGACTAGCAATGGGCAAAACCGGTGTGGACCTTGCCCCAGGGTGGCCTTTCCTCCCCTGGCATATTGCTGGTCATGCAGTTTAAACTCCTTGCCCTGGGGCTGACCAATTAGTGGAGCCACGACCCTGAAAGGGTTTAATTCCTCCCCTAAAACCTCCCCTAAATGCCCAGCCTTTAAAACCCTCAAGAGGAAGGACCCAGCCTGCACTCTCCCTCCCAGGAGCACGCCCATGCCTTTCCCTTCCCCTCTACCCCCCGCAGGTGGGCACCTCCTACACTCCACGGGGTCCCCACCAGGGGAGCAATGGGCAGCGGCAGCTCATGCCGGGCTCACCCTCCGATCTGATCCTGTCTCCAAGGCCCCCTTTCTCTGACTTCTTAGTGAACCAGAGCACCCCACCCTGGCTCTCCTGCTGCTTCTACCCCAGCCCCCTCCTTGTTCACCCTGGCTCTCCTGCTGCTTCTACCCCAGCTTTAATAAACATCCTCTCAAAGTCACCTGGACTCATGGTGTGACGTCTTTCCTGCACCAGGTCAAGAACCACACACTCCGGCCGGCCCTAGGCTCAGCCCCCTTTCCGGTAACAACACTTCTGATGTCAAATGTGAGGGGGTTTTTCCTCACACCATCCAGTTCTGACAGCAACCAACCATCCTACAATTCAATTCAGCTCTGACTGACCAGCTGGGGCAGCACCAGCCCCTGAGGCTAAGGGCTCAGCCCCCCAGGCCGTCCCACTTCAGAGGCTGTCACAATGGCTGGTCCCCAGGTTGCTCACTTCTGTCTGACAAACTCTGGGATTCCTACAACCCTCTCACGTTCAATAACTCACCAAAGTGACCCATGGAACTCAGGACAGCACTTTACTTACTATCACTGGCCAGATGCATGGGGCACGGTGCGGGGGAAAGGGTTGGAGCTCCCGGGCCTCTCCAGGCCGGCCCCTCCCAGCACCTCAACCGTGCACCGCCTGGGAAGCTCTCCAAACCTCACCACGCTGGGTTCCATAGGCTTCCTTATGAGGTGACTGATCAAACCACTGGCCAGTGGTGATGACTCGGCTTCAGCCCTCTCAGCATGCCTTGGTCTTTCTGGCCACCAGCCCCACCCTGAAGCCGTCTAGAGGCCCACCAAGGGTCACCTCTTAACATAAACTCAGGTGTGTTCATTATGAATAAGACATCCTATCACCAGATTCCAAGAGTTTTAGGAGCTCAAGCGCCAGAAACCAGGGACAAAGAGCAGATGTTTCTTATCAAACCACAACTGGAAAGCATCTGGATCCAGGCCCTGCCCCACTACCTGTGTGCAAACTTGAAAAGTCACCAAATCTTAGTGAGTCTTCGCCCTCCCATCCTTACAGCATGGAGCACAGCCCCCCTTTCCCTACAGGGCGGCCATGAGGATCGAATGAGATATTAGTTGTGAAAACAGCCAGTGACCTCTGACCTCCTCAAGGTACAATGCAAAAGCTAGTCATTCACAGCAGAAGAAACCCAAGCCCTTACTGTAGGGTGCGGCTATAGGGTTAAGCCTCAGACTGACCTGTGGGCAAAGCCACAAACAAGTCCCAGCTTAGAGGGCACAGTTCTCTTAGCATAATTAGGCTTGACCTTATGACGCTCCCTAGATCTTATCTGGGTAGCTAATGGGCTGAGGGAGATGCAGCAAGTGCTGCCAAAACAAGTGAAACTCACAAGAATGTTGTAACTATGGTGACCACTACCTTGTTTACCTCTGGCTATAAAATAAAGGCTCAGCTTGCTGTCGGGATCTCTCTCTATGGCCTCAGCCAGGCACAGGAAGATCTACCCAGACCCAGTTTATTGTCTCTGTCTCTTCTTCATCCTTCGCCGCGCCCCCTCAGGCTGTGAACCCTTGGCTGAGGTGGCTCGCCACACCTACTCTGGTGTCTGGCCATTCTACAGAGAGCTGCAGAGTAAGTACCTCAGGGTAGAATGCGTTCAACCCCAGGGTGACCCTTCTTTTTCTGTGTCCTTTGGGACACAAAAATACAAATTTGCAAAACCATATGTCAGATGCTGTAACCATCACTTTGTCTGGTGATGACTGTAAGAGAGGTAACTTATCCGGGTGAAGGCGTTGACCCAAATCACTGCCCGTGTCAATCCAACGTTTATACGCAGAAACGCTTCCGGCGGCAGGTTCACGTCCACTTCCGAGTCCCTCCTGAAGCCGCGTTGATTACTCACACGCAACAACCCCCTCGCCTAGCATCACTCAGAGTACTTGCTGACCTTGTTCTGGAGGCTCACCCACCGTTCAGCAGCTCCGCACTCCTCTACAGGGACTGGCCTGCTCGTCAGGAAAGCCGCGCAGGGGCTGTTAGTGACCCTGAGCGTCGCTGCTCTGGGACACGGCGCTGTCACAGGGCCTGCACACAAGGTGTGTCGGACGCAGGCGTGGGCAGGAGCCTGCGGGGCCTGCACGCTGCAGACTCCGTGCCTCGCCCACCCGCCGGAAGCAGCGCTCAGAGAGCATTCACATACCTCTGGCCAGGGTACCCCTCGGAGTACTTGTTATTTAAGCAAGAGCCCAGGGCCTCCAAAACTGCTCGGCTGGCGAAATTCTCTGAGGCGATCAGCTCCAGTCCAACCCTCTGCCGGTGACTCTCCTTCTTAATGATGTTGTAAACCTGGAGAGCAGAAAACAGACGTAAACATTTGGACCTCTAAGCTCAACATTCTACTCTGATCACAGCAGTGACTGAGGAAAGAGAAGAGCCACTGTTAAAGCACCATATTTTGCCCTCTGAGGTTGACCATAACCCAAAAAACCAAACTCAGAATATACTTAAAATAAGTATCTCACCTAATTTTTAATTCTATACCATCTTATCTTTAGTTTTACATTTCACCAAGTTTTCCCTTCCCTGATTCCTTGCTTCTCTTCTTTAAAATAAGCTTCCTTGCCGAAACCGGTTTGGCTCAGTGGATAGAGCGTCGGCCTGTGGACTGAAAGGTCCCAGGTTCGATTCCGGTCAAGGGCATGTACCTTGGTTGCGGGCACATCCCCAGTAGGGGGCGTGCAGGAGGCAGCTGATCAATGTTTCTCTCTCATCGATGTTTCTAACTCTCTATCTCTCTCCCTTCCTCTCTGTAAAAAATCAATAAAATATATTTAAAAAAATAAAAATAAAATAAGCTTCCTTAAAAGATAGTTAGGCCAGGCTGGTGTGGCTCAGTGGTTGAGCGCTGACCCATGAACCAGGAGGTCACAGTTTAATTCCTGGTCAGGACACCTGCCTGGGTTGTGGGCTCCATCCCCAGTAGGGGTGTGCAGGAGGCAGCCAATCAATGATTCTCTCTCATCATTGATGTTTCTATCTCCCTCTTCCTTCCTCCCTGAAATCAATAAAAATATATTTTTAAAAGTACATTGATAAAAGGTGCTTCTTGGTGTCTAAATGTACTCCTCTGAACTGTAAGGAAGGGTCAGATCTCAGTGACCTTCCCCGTCCCTCCCGAGCATCCAGCACAGAGCTCTGCACTTTGCAGAAACACAGACATCCTTATCCTTATCCCGGAAGGGCTTGTAGCGCTTGCCAACCGCTGCCTCTAAGTCTGGCACTCTCACACTAACTGCAGGGCTATTCTGAATGAACGGCACTTGGGATTAGAACCAGAACGTACACAAGACACTGGGATCTAAGGACACCCACGAAGACCCCACAGCCTCACCTCGATGTCGCTGTCTTTCAGGGGCTGCGCCAGCATTTTGTCATGCGAGGCCCACAGGTCAGCATTCTTGGGAGCCCTGCTCACCGCAGTCGCCATTGCACTGGTTCAAAGTTGCCTCAAAATGGAAGAACTTCCAACATTAATTTTAGTCAAAGCTCAACGCAACCTGTTAGTTCTCTGAGTTGCTAAAGTATCGACACTATTAGCCCCTCCCTCAACTGCTTGGTAAACATGAAAATAGTCTATTGCAAAACCACCACGTGGGACTTCTGGTTCCGCTCGGAACTGTGGGTGTCAGCTTGTTATCCAGTTAGCGATGAGAGCCACCCCCACTCCCTAGGAGGCCTGACCCTGCGGACAGAGCCCTGCTGCCTTTTCTCAACTAACCTTTCTTGCTATGGCTTCTCTCTCCAACTAAACTAACTTCCTGGAAGGCAAGGGCTGTGTGCTACTTTCATTTTTTAAAATCTCCCACAGAATTCGGTGCGGACACGCATGAAGTAATATTTGCCTGAACAATGAATTACTTAAGTGTCATTTTTTCCATTTTTCAAGTAATGAAAACGAGGCTCAGAGAAGCAAAGCCTCTTAGCCCGTGGCCGCACAGCAAATAGGCCATGAAGGTCAGACTCGGAACCCCAAGTCGTATGCTTTTTACCCACAGGGTTCCTGGAGAAGCTGCAAGTTAAAGCATGCACCGGCTTAAATACAGACTGCCCTGCAAGAATTGTAGATAGAAAAAAAAAAGAATTATAGATCAATATTTTTCAGCAGAAAACTGCATCCCATCAAAACGCTGGAAAATGTATGTTTCTACAAAGAACAAGAATTTGTGATCTGTGGCATCTCCCCTGGTGTGAAAGTTTAAATATTTACAGGAACCTACCTCCCCTAATCAACAAACAGTCGGCAGCTTTTCAGCAGCGTTCCAGTAATTTGGTAAGCTTTCATCTAAAAGGATTCATGTTGCCTGGCCGGTGTGGCTCAGTGGTAGCGCGTCAGCCCATGCACTGAAGTCTCGGGTACGATTCCCCATCAAGGGCACATACCTGGATTGCAGGTCCACCCCAGGCCCAGTCGGGTGCTTTTGGGAGGCAACCAATCGATGTGTCTTTCTCACATCCGATGTTTCTCTCTCTCTCTCCCTCCCTCCCTTCCACCCTCTTTAAAAATCAATGAAAAAAATATCCTCGGGCAAGGATTAACAACAACAACAACAACAATAATAATAAAATAAAAATAAAATAAAATGATTCACCGACAACTATTTACTCAGGCCTCTCTGTGCCACCATGGCATTGCTATTGGGAACACAGTTGTGAACATAGCAGACTGGGTCCTGCCGTCAGGGCCTTCCCTGGTGCGGAAGGTGAGTAGCAAACCGAACAAGTGTACTCAACGCAGACGGATACAATGAGGAGAGCCAGGAAGGACGGGAGCTGGGTGCTGGGGCGAGCAGGGCTCACGCTGGAGCTGAGGCAGGGGCCTACCCTAGGAGAGGGCGTCTAGATTAAGAAAGATCCAATCATGAGGAGAGAGCCCATCCCCCAAGAGTAATGAGATAATACGTATATATTGGTCTCGGCTCCTAACCCCTTGTGAGTTGCTAAGTGAAAAGAGGACTAGGAGCCTCTGCTGTTCTGAGGTGACCCTGGGTGGGCCCCTGGATGGCTCCTGGCTGGGGCGCTGGTCACCAGAAAGACCAGCCATGATTAGAAGCCTGGGCTTTTCAGCCCCGCCCCCACCTCTCCAGAGAGGAGTTAACACTTGATCACGCCTACATGAGGGGGCCTGTATACATTCAGCTTCCAGGTGGGTGGACACATCCACACGGGAAGTGGCGCACCCTAACTCCACGGGGGACAGAAGCTCCTGTGCTCTGGACCCTGCCAGACCTCACCCTCTGCGTGTCATCTTGCTGTTCGCCTGTATCCTTTATCATCTCTGAAAAAACTGGTAGCCTGGCTGGCGTGGCTCAGTGGTTGAGTGTCAACCTATGAACCAGGAGGTCACGGTTCGCTTCCCGGTCAGGGCACATGCCCAGGTTGTGGGCTTCATTCCCAGTGTGGGGCGTGCAGGAGGCAGCCAATCAATGATTCTCTCTCATCACTGATGTTTCTATCTCCCTCTCCCTTCTCTCTGAAATCAATAAAATTATATTTAAGCCCTAGCCGGTTTGGCTCAGTGGATAGAGCGTCGGCCTGCGGACTCAAGGGTCCCGGGTTCGATTCCGGTCAAGGGCATGTACCTTGGTTGCGGGCACGTCCCCAGTGGGGAGTGTGCAGGAGGCGGCTGATCGATGTTTCTCTCTCATCGATGTTTCTGACTCTCTGTCCCTCTCCCTTCCTCTCTGTAAAAAATCAATAAAATATATTTTTAAAAAAATTATATTTAAAAAACTGATAAACGTTAAGTGTTTCTCTGAGTTCTGTGAGCTGCTCTAACAAATGATGGAATGCCAGGAGCAGGTCATGGGAACCTCTGATTTGTAGCCGATAGGACAGAAGTCGTGGATAACCTGGGGACCTACTATTTGTGATTGACATCTGAAGGGGGTGGTCTCGTGGGCTGAATGAACTCCGGGTAGAATTGGATTGAATTGTAAGACACCCAGTGGTGTCTCAGACCTGCTGATGCGTGGAAACCCCCACACATCTGGTGTGAGAAGGGTGCTTGGTGGTGGTGTGAAAGTAAAAGGGAAACACAGCAGAAAGGTTGTAGCTTTTCCCATACAAGTACACACAGTAAATTTGCTCAACAAATATACCCATTAGATAAAACAGTCTAATAGTCCCAAATTACAGGGATCCTCCTTAATCTCTGGTACTATAACCTTGAACCAGGAAATTCCTCTCAGGGCTTTCAAAGCAGCCATTATTTTACCGTAAGCACAGCATGTTTAGAAAGGAAGCACTGTGCTGGAACGCAATTGACACTTCTGTGGTCACAGCAGCACCACCTTGCCAAGGACAGGCAGGTGACCTTGAATGTGGCTGGCCACGCCCCACATTTCCGCCAGAGGTGGAGAGACACGTGAATGCCGACCTCTGCACTCAAGAACGGCCAGTTCAACCCGAGGACCTGTGCATGGACCAACACCACCCTCGGCAGGTGGTAAGCCCACAACAAAAAGCACCAGAGCCAAAAACAGGCTCCAAGAGAAAAGCTGCTTCAAACACTGACTAGTCAAAGTCAAAAAGGATTGAAGGTGGCAAGCAGAGAAGACCATCTCAACCAGCCAATGGCTAAAGCCCATTGGGAACCCCCCCCCCGCCCCCCGCAGGTCAGACAGATCCTCAGTCACTGTGAAAGGCACTCAGCTCCCCTCTGCTCAGGAAAAAGAGCCAAGTCTCTGCCTCATCTGTGGGCTCACTCATCTCACTGCAGCGTAACAACCTGCCGCCCTGTTGCAAATCTTCTCCTTGCCCAGATGCTAATTCTGACTCACAGTGACCGCTTCCGCCCACGGTGAGGGTGAGAATGCGGGTGTGGCCAGCACCCCACACTCACTGCCCACCCACTGGGAGTCTCCTCCCCGGGGTCCTGTGACCACTCAGGATCAAGTCACCCCCCCAGACAGAGTAATTAATTCATACACTCAATAAATCCATATCGAGTCTAACTTAAGCTTTTTTTTTAACCAGGAAGAAGTTTGAGTTCTTCATTCAGAGTTCAAGATTCTGTGTCTTGTTTCAATTAAATCAGTTATAATCTATTATATCTATTAGGTCAATTAAATCTATTCTATCCTGAGGGGTGCTGTATGGCCTTGCCTGGGTTAGGGATGCAGTTCTGCAGCCTCAGCTGTCAGGACATGGTGGCATGAGCCTCACTCACCCCCAGGGAGACAGGCCAGGAAGTGAATTCATTCTCCAAAGTCACCAGCCTCCCCATGCCTCCAACCTTCCCTGGGCCTCCGTCACTAGTGGAACCACCCAGGGGCCTGCGGAGGGAACCCCTGCTGAATGTCACCTGTCTCAGACTCTATGACCTCCACTTTTCAGAAAGCTGAGGCTCAGAGAGAGCAGGGCCGAAGGCCATGTCATTTGAACTCTTTTCCCTGTAGTTGGTTCCAAAGCCCGCCTGCGCCACCCGCACTAAATAAAAGCACAATTGCCCAACTCCGCGCATGTTCCCTCGAGTAGGAAATTACAAATGTGATCCCATAAGAATCTAAACTGGTGTTTCCAGTGCAGCAACTGCCTGACGGAAGGCACCTGCGGGTGCGGGGCTCCGCTGGCCAAGGTCCACTTAACTTCCAGGGCCTGGACGCACAGGGCACCGGGCCAAGAGCCCTACGGAGCGACGTCCGTCTCCCAGAACGGCTGCAGCCAGTCCCTCCCCTCGGGGACCCAAGCCGAGCGGCCACAAACGCCGCGGTGAGCGCGCCGGCTGCGGGGAGCCTGGGTTCCATTCCGTGTGCCATGTGGCAGGGTCCCGCCTACACCGGCTCCTCTCCGAGCCTCCCTGTCCCGTCTGCAAAGCACTCGACTGGCAGCGTTGGTGGGAGGATGCTGTGGGGAGGTGCAGCTGCACTTGCATTTGAAATGCTCAACCCGAGAGCGCTCAGGGGAGAGCGGCCACTCGGACCTGTGTTCAGCTGGGCCACCCCCTACCGCACCTGAGACCTGAGACCAGAGAATGGGCGCTCCGGACTCGCGCCGACCCCCTGGCTGCGAGCCAGGGAGCTGGGATGCTGGGGAGACGTGCAGGGCCTGTCCTGGGAACTGGGTAGGCCCTGGGGTTGGGGATGAGTTTTGTTGCTTATATTTAACTTACAGTTTAGCACGGTGGTCATTTAAATGGGACAAACGTGGATTTGAACTTCAACACTGTGACTCGGTACCTGTGGAATCCTAGAACAGGCACTTACATGTCTCATTCTTGAATTGGAGATAAGTATGTCTACCTGGCATGGCTGTCAGGAGGATTAACAGACAGATCTAAAGCACTAACATTGTGCCTGACACATAACTAGGGCTCAATAAATATTGGAATATAGACAGTAAGTATAACAGAAACCAAGGGGCTGCACAACATAGGGGAAAGAGCTGACAGATTCTCTTGACCAAATTCTACTCGGGCTCCTCTGAAATATTTTTCCATGAAGCCTGACTTTCAGACTTCCCTGTTTGTCTCTGCTGTCGGCGGGACCGGAGTCCAAAACCCACGGGGTCCAGTTTTAGCAAGGACGCTGCTAAGTCCGTTTGACCAGAACCCCCCACCCTCCATATCTAGTTGGATTTCTCATCCTCCATTATCTGGGTGATGTCTGATCACCCTGGCCTGGTCAGTTTGGCCAGAATCCTCACCTCGGATGTTTCTTCCTCTAATTTTCCATCCACTGCACCCCTCCCCCCTCCTTGGCTATAAGTTCCATTGGCCCATATTCACACTTGAGCCCACTCTCTATTGCCCACTGAAAGATTCCATTGCGGAGGTCCCTATACCTATAGAAATAGTTTCCCCTTGAATAAAGTTTTCCTTACTGTGTCATCGAATAATTTGTTCTCTAACAGCTCCTGATATTTCAGTCCTCAGTGTATCAACAACTTTTAACCTCTTACAAGGTCAAGCAATTTCCAAAATGTAACAAATGTGAGTAATGTGACAGTTAATAGATTCAAAACTGATTCAGAAAATTCCTGGGAAAGACAGTGAGAAAGTGGGGATCCATAAGAAGTCCTATTTGCAGGAGAGTCACACAATACAACACAGACTCAGAATGATTTTGTCAAATAGCTTCTTTGCCTAGTGAGTCCCTTCCTTCTCTACCTCCCCTGTGTC